CGGGCGATCCGCCCCGCGCCGGAAGCCGATTGCAAGGCCCCCCCCCCCCGCACTGGCCGAGGTCCACATCCAGGGGGGATCTCACGTCCGGGCGAGGGCCCGGGTGTGGGCCCCCCTCCCCGCCCCGCCTCGCGCCAGGGCCGCCGCCGTGCGCGCGCCGTTGCGCTTTTTCCGCCAGCGGCCCCGCCCCCGCAGGCGTGGACTCTTGACGCACACAGACACCACCGACCCCACCCGCACGACTTGCCCTCCTCTTGCTCCTCCTCCGCCTCCCCCTCCCCCCCCCCCCCGCCTCCCTTCCGCCGCCTCGCCCCGCGCGTGTCTTCCTGCCCCCTGCCCCCTCCCGCCCGGCCGAGCCATCTTGCAAATGCTCCGGTCCGTGTTCGCCCGCCTGGGCACCGCCCTGCCATCCAGGGACCTCGGGCGCATGGCGCTGTTCCTTCTCCTTGGGTCCTTCCTCGCCGGGGCATCGGTGCGCCTGCTGACCAACGGTCGCCCCCGGCGGCCGGGCGCTGGCCAAGCGTCCAGTAACTCGGCCGAGCCGGCGCCCCCGGGCTCCACCGGGCCCGGCGGGGCGGCGCCCGTCGCGTCGCCCGCCGCGCCGGCCACCGCCGGTGGCACTCCCGCCCCGGCCTCCATCCTCACCTCGGCTGCCGCCGCCGCCGACGACGACGGGGCCACCTCGGCCGCCGCCCCGCCGGGCAAGCCGGCCCTGCCGGCGCACATTCCCCTGGGCCTGGCCACGGCCTTCGGGCCGGCCGCCCAGATGGAGGACGTCTTCCTGCTGGCCCTCGGCCTGGCGGTGGTGCAGCATGCCCTGCCGGACGGGGCGCCGGCCGGCCCGTTGCGCCGGCTGCACCCGTTCGAGGACCGCCGGCGTCTCTTTGCCCTGACCTGCCTGGACATGGGGCAGGCGCTGGTCGAGGCGACGGCCGGGCCGGAGTTCGCGGCCCCCGGGTCCCCGGGCGGGACCCTCTCCGGGGGGAGCATGCGCCGGCAGGGGGCCGGCCGGCGGCCGGCCCTTCCCGGGGCCGCGGCCAAGGCCGGGTCGGTCCTCCCGTCGGCCGGCCCGCCGGGGCCGCTGCTCCCGGCCGGGACCTTCGCCTCGTTGCTCGGCCTGCCGGGGGTGGATCTGGACCGGCTGGCGCATCCGGTCGGCTGGCCGGCGTCCAGCACCCGGGCGTCGGACCCCCAGGCCCCGGAGCATGCCGCCCTGGCCGCCATCCATGCGTTCGATCTGCTGGCCGCCCAGGCGGTGGAGCTGTCGCGCGAGTTCCCCGAGCTGGATGCCAGCCCCACCGGGGGGGCGGCCTCGCCGGCCCGGCGGTCGTACTCGCTCCGGTCGCGGCGCCAGGCCTCGGCCGCGGCGCTGGCCGCCTCGCCCGGGGGCGCCTCGCCGGGGGGGACCCTGTCGCGGTCTGGCGGCGCGGCGGCGGCGGCGGCCATGCTGGCCGACGCGCCGGCCGACCCGGCCACCGCCGGGGCCCTGCCCCTGTCGGATGCGCGGAAGTTCGATCTCCTCTGGCGGTCGCTCTTCGCCACCGAGTGCCAGTCCCTCGGGCAGGCGTCCCCCGAGCCGGGGCTCTTCTCCGGGGTCTTCCATGATTCGATGCTGCCGCACCTGCAGGAGCAGCTGGCCGGCGGGACGGCCGCCGGCGCGGCGGCCGCTCCGCAAGCCGCCGCGCACCTTTGGCGCGCCGACCCGAGCTCCGCCTCGGAGCCGCCCCCGGCCTCGGCGGATGCCCTCTCGGCCTCCGGGTACTACCAGCGCATGGTGGGTGCCGGGCCGGGGCCCGGGGCGGCGGCCCCCTCGGCGGTCGGCTGGGCGGCCATCGGCCTGCCGGGGCCCGATGTGACCATGCACTTCTTCCAGGGCGGCCAGTGGGCGCTGGGCTTGCTGCTGGACTTCGCGGTCCTGCGGCCGGTGGAGTGTCGCCGGGTCTTGCGCATCGCCCAGGGCCTGTCGCCGTCGCCGCTGCCCGGGGACACCGGCCACGGGTCGGACCCCATGGCCCGGGGGGCGTGGTGCGGCCCGCCGGACTTGGAGCCCTGGCACGCGGTGCATGACGAGGCCAAGGTGACCGGGTTTGGCTTCGGCCCGGCGGCCCTGAAGCTGGCCGGCTGGCTGTTGGATGTGTGCCTGCGGCCGCGGGCGGCTGGCAGCCTGGCTGGCGATGCGGCGGCCGCCGGCGGGCCGCCCCTGTCCCCGGCGCTGGCCATGGTGCCGCCGCTGAAGCCGGTGCTGCTGGCCATGGTCGGCGAGGCGGTCACCCTGCTGGGCGTGGGGGCCGGCGATGTGGAGGCTCTGGGCCACATCGGCCGGTGGGCCGCCGGCCGGCTGTTTTCCTTCTGCTTCGTGCGCCTGGCCGATGCCTGGCGTGCGCGCGTCCTGGCCCGGTCGATTGAGGCCCTTGCCGGGGATGGGGCCGGGGATGGGGCCCCGTCCGGCAGCCCGACCTCCCCGTCGCTGGGGCTGCCCCAGGCCGACCCGTTTGTGGCCTTCTTCGATGGGGAGATGGAGCTGGCCCTGCTGGCGGAATTGCTGTCCATGCGCCTGGGGGATGTGACCGGGCGCGAGGCGGCCGGCTCGCCGGCCTCCTTCACCCTGAACAGCTCGCAATCGGCCTTCGCCGCCTGGGCTCTGAGTCTCTTCCCCCAGTTTGAGGACAACCTCTCGGTGTAGACCCTGGCGAGGGTGTGTGTGTGTGTGCACCCTTGTCCACCGGGGGGGGGGGGGGGGGGGGGGCATCGTGTGTCGCCCACCACCATCCCCTCTCCCTGCCCCCGGCGTCAAATAGAGAACAACATAGCCCCTGTCGGTGATGGCACCCTGCTCCTGTTGGTTGTGCCTCGCGGCGGCTCTCCCCCGTGGCATCCCGCGGTACACTGCCCCGTCGCCGAAAGTGCGTACGCCTGCTGACCCCGGGTGTCCAGCATACATGTGTGTGTATGGGGGGGGGGGGGGTACCGACAACGGGGGCGTGGCTGCCGGCCTGGTGTATTGTCCTCTTCCTCCGCATCTGGCCCTGTGCCTATCCCCATGGGCCCTTCTCTTTCAGCTGCCTCCCTCGGGACAAGATGCAGGGGCATTGTCGTGGGACGAGCGCATCGGCTCGGACCCGGCAAGCACACCCACCCACCCACTCACAGGCCAGCAATGCGAGCAACCGCGCCTAGGCTCCTCCATGCGCTTCCTTTTCATCGTCCTAGTCCCCATCGCTCCACCCCTCTCTCTCCCTCTCTCTCTCTCTCTGTCTCTCTCTCGCTCCCTCGCTCCCTCGGCCTCTCCGCCACCCGGCGCCCGCCCCCTTCCCCCCTACACAGCCGCTATCAAGACCAGCTGGAGCGCAT